ATTTTATTTTATTTTATTTTATTTTATTTTATTTTATTTTATTTTATTTTATTATTTTATTTTATTTTATTATTTTATTTTATTATTTTATTTTTAATTTAATTTAATTTAATTATTTTATTTTATTTCTGCTCTTTTGGACACTTATATATCCCAAATATCATAATTTTCCATTCTCTAACTTTCAGTGATTAGGGACTAATCACTCACCTAAAAAAGACTTGAAGATTATTCTGTCCCAATAAACAGTTCCTACTTTTGTCTCTCTATGTTTATCTCTATAACATGAAGCTTCCAGTTCACTCAGACTGTAGATGTTACAGACTTTATGTTTGAAGGTAAAGAGTAAAATCTGAAGAGGGAAATGCCATATTTGCTCAGTCACCGATTGTTCGTTTATTGGCAGGTTTATGGCTGCATTGAAGCATTTTCTTCCAGTCCTTCAGGTTGCAGTGGTACCTTCATTGAAGAACAACCAGGGATGGGTTGCTGCTGGCATTACTGCCAATTCACAACCCGTGCACAATGTGTGTGTGTGCCAGACACATGCACCAGGCATGCGCAAAACAAATTACAGTGAACTGTGCACACACAGTCACTAAAATCCAAAATAGCGGCAGCCAAGTGGCAGCGACGGAACCAGCTTGGGGGCATGGCAGGCCTGTGTTGCTGCTGGTTGTACGACCCAGGCCTGAATTCCACTACTGGTTTGGCCGAACCGGCAGCAACCCACCTCTGAGGACAACCAAGGGAAACCAACTGACTGGTTTCCTTGTCTTTGTTTTTCCTCTGCCTGGATATCACTAGCTGGCAGGAAAAACATCTGCTTGGTATTATGGGATGAAGAGGAGATAATTTTGACGGACACTTAGACCAGTGGATTTAGTCATCCCTCAAAACTTCCTCTGGATTCAAGCAAATGTTTTATGTGAATTTTCTCTAAAGAAATCCTCTCTTGTTATATAAGCTGATAATTGAGCTCCTTTTGGTCAGTACTGAGCATTACTCCAGAACAATTTTATTTATTTATATCCTACCTTTATTATTTTTATAAATAATTCAAAGTGGTGAATATACCTGAAACTCCTTCCTCTTCTTATTTTTGCTACAACATAAACAACCACCTGTGAACTGAGTTGGTTTGAAAGAGAGTGACTGGTCCAGGTCACTTAGTTGGCTTTCATGTCTAAGGCAATCTCCCACTTTTTAGTCTAGGGCAGTGATGTCTAACCTTTTCAGCGCCAACTGCCAAAAGCATGCACCACCCACCCATAATGCAATGCATGTGCAATACCCTCTGCTCCCACCCCCACATGCATGTTCACACAACCCCTAGTGTGTGCCCCACCCTGAGCATGTGTGCACAAAACCATGCATGTGTGCACATCTCCTGCGCATGCGCCTGACCCTCATGCATTCGTGCACATCTCCTGCATGTGCCGTGCTCCTTGCATATGTATGCACATCACCTACATGCCCCCTGCCCCCTGTGCATTTGCGGCAGAGCCCCCAAAGCCAGCTGGACAGAGGGAGGCACATGCACATGCATGGCAGAGCTGAGCAGGGGCAATGGCTCGCGTGCCCGCAAAGAGGGAACTGTGTGCCACCTATGGCACACATGGCATAGATTCGCTATGACGGGTCCAGAGTCTTAACCACTAGATCAAATGCTATGTTCATTTTACCTTTTAATTATTTCCAATCTGAAAAAAAAACAAATAAACAAAAAAAGCAGCAATTATTTCTCTTCTAAACTAAACAATCTGTTTCCTCTTACCCACAAAAGGAAGGAAATACTTTGGAAGAATACATATTACCTGCTCAGTAAAAATAAATTAAAAATTGGCTTCAGTTCTTATCTCTGCACCACAAAGAAAACTGCTGTGTCTTGCTGTCTCTTTTCCATTCATATCTCTGGCTTGGAATAAATTTTGGGGGCACTGGAGCAGTTCTGTTTTTGGCTAGCCCAAGAATACTTGGGTGGTCAGAGATCATTAGGGG